GAATGGTGCAAAGAAAATCTGGAGTACTTGGCATAAAGTTTGTAAACCTAAAGAGGCCGGTGGTCTCGATTTTAAAGCACTAAAGCATATTGTGGAAGTGAACCTCTGTAAGCTTTGGTTCAAATTTAGATTGGGTTCCTCTCTTTGGGCCATGTTTATGAGGCTAAAATATTGTGCTAATATTCATCCTTCCTTGGTCTCTTGGAAGGTTGGAGATTCTCGTATTTGGGAAACTGTGGTGAATGCTAGAGACACGACAAATGGTTTCATTTTTTGGGATATTGGAGAGGGAAACATTTCCTTCTGGAATGAAAATTGGGGTGCTTCTCACATTTCTGGCTTATCTCACTCCTCTCTTTCTAACTCTGTATTGGTCTCTGATTTTTTTGATAATGAGGTTTGAGACTTTTTTAAATTATGCTCTATGGTTGGGGAACAAAATGCAAAGCATATATTCATAATCCCCATCACTCATTCTCATAGAGATCTCCCCATGTGGAAAAGAAGTAGCTCTATATCAATTTGCAAGCTCATTTATGACACTCTACACTCACATCGTGACTGGATATGGGGGAAATGGATTTGGCATAAATATTTATCTCCCTCTATATCCTTTTTTCTATGGCGTTATCTTATGTCGTTAATCCCATTGGATGACATTCTTAAGCTTAAGGGCTTGAAATTAGCCTTTAGATGCCCTATGTGTAGAATGAAAGAGGAGGATATAACACACACTTTCTTTGAGTGTGCTTTTCTTGTTGGAGGTCTGGGATAAAATAAGCGCTAATTTTGGTTTCTCTTGGACCCATAAAGGATCTTTAACTAGTTATTTATGGCAGTGGAAGGATTTTGATGCCTTTATGGGGAGGTTTCCCCTCTCATTATTGGTTCTGTGGTTCCTTTGGAACTCCAGAAATAGTTTTAAATACCACACCTCTCCCCTCTCTATTACTATGGTTGTTGCACATGTCATTGCCTATTACAATAAAGCTTTAAGAGCCAGCACCTCCGTGGATAAAACCACTAAGGCCCCTACGCTTATTGTGTGGGCCCCCCCGCATGCTAATTATGTGAAATCAAATGTTGATGGCTGTTGCGTGCTAATTGGGGGTCTTTTTAGAAATTTTGAAGGGAAATGCCTTCTCTTTTTCGCTTCCTCTGTTATTGCCGAAACTTCTTTGGCTGTTGAATGTTGGGGAGTCTTTTTAGCTCTAGTGGTGGCCAACATCTTTAATTTTCGTAAGCTGGAGGTGGATTCAAAAATACTTTATGATATTTTGGTTGGTACTACCTCTCCTCTTTGGGATTTAATTGGTATTTTTAAAAGAATAATAATCCTTATAGCTGATAAACATCTTGAGGCTAGATGGAAGTTTATTCATAGAGCGGGCAACTCTCCTGCGAATTGGCTTGCTAAAAATGCAGGGGAGACTTGTCACGTTGGCACACATCCCACTGCCCATCTTCGGAGACTCATCATTAGAGATACTTTAATCTCCCCTACATTCGTTTCTAAGTTTTATGGGCTATATTTTCAGTTTGGCTGGACTTTGCAGTTTTTCTCTCATTTTTTGGCTTGTTGGTTGGCTTGGCTGGTTTTGCAATGTTTTGCAGGGGGATCTCTTTTTCGAAGACAAAGGCTGGGATGGAAACCTTGCTCTTGAACGCGGCATAGAGGACGCCTCCTGTTCATGACCTTTTCTTTTGTCTTCCTTCAAATACTTTCATAATATAAAAGCACACAGGACTACCTTTTTATTTTGGCTCTTTTTTCTGGTTTTCTGGGTATACTTGTATTTTGGAAGCTATTTTTGTGTGAGTTGTACTTGGGGAAGAGGGACCCCTAGGGGTGAGTCTAATGTATTTCTTTTTGTGTTTTCTAGATGGGGACCCTCCCCCCCAAACATTGTACCTTATTTTAATTATTAACGCGTAGGGAGCCACCGATGCTCTTTCCCAAAAAAAAAAAAAAAAAAAAAAAAAAAAAAAAAAAAAAAAAATATGATGCTCTTTTCCCCAATATATATATATATATATATATATGACAATTTTACAACAAGTGTTGTGTCCTAGCTACTTTTTTTCTGAAAATTTATTGAGATTCATTCTTATAATCTCACGGTCTGTTAAGCTGCAGGAAGCAGAAGATAAACATGTGATCCTGCAATCATTTGAAATATAATCTTTATGTTGTAATTTTATTAAGCAAATAATAATGGATAAATTAGTGCTAGTTCAAAAGCTTCTTCTAATTAGGATTAATTTGTGTTTAAGTAGTGTTTAATGAAGAACTAATTTTAAATATATTAGACATACATGCATCTTAAAGTTTACAGGACAGAAGAAATATTGATACAATACAACTAATTTAACTATTATTAAATGAGCTATCCGTCAAAGAGCAAATTATTTTTTTATTAAAGCGCATAAATAAATAATTAAGCCAATATTCCAATTTAATTTCTTTATATGTCAATCTTCCAAAATTTTATTTAATCATGGCTTATGAAATGAATTACCTTGCAGAATTCCAAGCAGGGAATCCATCCGGAACGGATAAGATAATCAATCTGCTTCAGCAATTGTTCAAGAGTAAGTGGAGGGAGGTATGACAGTGTCTCAAACTTCTTCTTTCCCTCAATGGGCCACACCTTCAAAAAATAAAAAATTAAATAATAATAATAATAATAATAAAACTTTATACTTGTTATGAGCATCATAAATTATTATAATATATATATATATATATTATTTTTTTTTTCTTGCATTTTTTTTGAAGATGTGAAATAACAGTTTTGTTATAGCTACCACATTCAAATCTGATCTAAAAAGTAAAGTTATGAAAAAACTGCTCAAGAACAATCAACACCCAAATACCTGCATGCACTGGACCCGGCCGCCATTGCTCGGGAGGTGGTTGAGGTTTGTGGCGGGCGGGCGGTGGGCAAGCCAGCTGCAAACTTCAAACCGGTGTATGGAGCCACCACGGCTGCCTGCGCCGGAGCCGTTGATCGGGCCACCGTCGCGGTAGCGGACGAGATCATCATCGAAGAAGCCATTTTTTAACGCTTCAATACTTCCTAATGCCCCTTATATCCCTTAAATCCTTCTATATATAATTGAAACCAGTGAGTAGATTTGATTAGGTGATGACATATACACTTCAATCACCACATGTGAAGGCTGACCCTTATCATCTAAGAGCCACACCGTTGTGCCACGTGGCATCTTATCTTCAACTTTATTGGTCTCTATTCTTATTGCTTATATGGTTGGAAAGGGAGTAGTGCTCATGAGTAGAGATAAGAGAGTATGTTGGTGCCTTCAGAGTGTAGATATAATGTCTTATTATGTAAATTTAATTGCAATTTTTGTATTATTTTAGTAAATGTTAAATAGTTGATTATGAGATGTTTAGTGGGGCCTTTGCATCCATCTTAATCTGTGATGCTATCAGACAGAAAATTCAGTATCTCATTAGGTGTTGTTAGTATTAAGATTGTTGAAAATTTAAAATTAAGGGATAATTACATGCATATCATCTGAAATATTGATATTTATAATTAAACCAATCAGGTGTTTTCTCTTAGACTATCGAACTGATGTATTTATGCGTGTCACGATCAAACTATTGAGAATTTGGTAAAACTGAAAAATATGGGTTGGGATTTTATCATGAATTTTGAAGTTTGAACGAAACTTTAAAAAATTGATGAAAGGAGATGGTTGATTTGTAAATATCAAATTTCGGGTGATCTTTATATGATTGCTCCAAAATTAAATTGAGTTATAAAAAGCGTAATATAATTTTGACAAACACCATAAAGTGATGCACAACACCACACTACTACCCCCAAACGCACTTAGATGGGTTGGAGAAAAGTTTAAGGAGATTGATAGCTTAAGTTTTAATTTTGGTATTTAGGTAGGAGTCATACTAGAAAAGTTGTAGGTGTAATTATTGATAACATAATGAAAGACAATAAAAATTAATAAAATTAGAGATAAAATTATAGCTCTAGAGATTATTATTGATACTAAGATTATTAATGTTATAAGTGCTTATGCTCCCAAAATAGGTTTAAATATATGTTCAAAACATAAATTATGGAATGAACAAGAGGAATTAATATAATGATACATCTTGAAGAAAAAAACTTAGAAGAAAAAAGTATAAGGAAATATTTCATACAATTAGATTTGACAGCTAAAAGATAAAAATAAAATTATTTTTATGAGTAAAGCTCAAGACCTTAAGATTTGGGATATTATGAAGAAGATAATATTATGTGGTATAAAATAACGAGTATTTTTAAGTAAGTTGTAAAAGATGCTTTTAGGGAATAAAAAAGAGAAGCTCTTATAAATAAAAAAATTTCTATGGTGAAATAATAATTTGCAAGAAAAGATAAAAAATAAGAAGTTTTATCATAAAAACTCGTTTAGATGTAAAAGTATAAAGAATTTAAAAAGAAAAACATAAGATGGCACTTAAGGAGTCTAAGAAATTAATTTGTGATGTCAAAAATTTTGATTTTAATTTAGTGATCCTTATAATAAATTAGATGTTGAACAAGCTAAAGATATATGTATAACCCAACCAAGCAAAGAGATAAGAAAATTGAAGATTTAGTCAAGTAAAATGGCTTAATGATGAAAATTAAAAAAATATTTTTCTTAGATTATGATATTCAACATAGGTGGGTGAGATATTTTGATAAACTTTTTAATAAATATTGTGGCAATAGGAAGTGATATTAATATCGTGAATAATAATATATATATTTTTTTTTATTTTCACTCTCTCATTTGTAAAATAGAAGTTGGGGAGCCTTAAAAAAATGAACTGTGAAAAAATAGTAGGATATGATAGTATTTCAACAAAAGTGCGAAATTATTTTGGAGATTAATATTATTTTAAAACTAACCTGATGCTAAATGAGTGAAGAGAGAGTTTGTTGGTTCCTATTTTTAAGAATAAAGGGTATGCATAGGAGTGTGCAAATTATAGAGAAATTAAGTTAGTGTATCAAACACTAAAATTAAGAAGGAGAAGAATTGAACATAGGCTAGAACATGATACGAACATTTCTCAAAATCAAATTGGATTCATGTCAGGCAAGTCTACTATAGAAGCTACATATTTATTGAGAGATTTGATGAAGAAGCACAAAGAGAGCAAGGAGGATCGATATATGATTTTTGTTGATTAAAAAAAAACTTTTGATAAGGTTCAAAGAGAAGTATTTTGGTGATTTATGGAGAAGAAATATATCTATATTGCTTATATTCAAGTCATTAACGAAATGTATACTTGACCTATTTCCTGTGTTTCAGTTGGATTACATCAGGGATCAACTTTAAAATCACATCTTTTTTGCTTTAGTTATGAATATTTTTACCGGACATTTGCAGGAGGATGTACCTTGGTGTATGCTTTTCACTAATGATATCCTTTTTGTGGATAAGACTAACAAGAGTTCAGGAAAATCTTTTATGGATGTCAACTTTAGAATCTAAAGGATTTCATTTCAATAGATCTAATAATGAATATATCATATAATTTTAGTGGTAGTAGATCTAATGGTGGCATTGTAACAATTGGTTATCAAGTCTTAGTGAACATTTTAGATATCTTAGGTCTATTATTGATAGTGATGATGATATAGATGAGGATGTTATTAGTAGAATTTAAATTAAATGGTTGAAGTGGAGGAATGCATCATGCCTATTGTTTAAATTAATTAAATGCAGCCAACAGTGAAACGAGACACAGAACCTCGGAGTTGTCAAAGTTGACGTGGCTGCCGTGTGGTTAAGTAGGAAAATCTGGATTTTAGAATTAATTAAATACATAAATTAATATATAATTTCAAAAATTCATAACTTGAAAAATAAAAATCACAAAAATAAAATAAAAATACTCTCATACTCGACAAACAAGACAAAATATAATAAAAATATAAAAAATTAATTAATTAAGCTATATTTAACTTTAAATTTAATAAATGCCTCTGAAAGTATTTTAATTATAAAAAAATAAATATAAATGTGAAAATTATGAAATTTACAATGAATAATCCCTTTACCATTGGAAATATTTCCCGTTTTTTCTAAGAATTGAGGACTTCCCTAACATCAAAGTTATATTTCCATAAAAACTGTAATTATTTTGAAGAATAATTATAAAAAATAAAGTACCAATCAGAAAAATACAAATTCAGATGCAAATTAACAAGGAACATCAGGACATTAACCCTAAACACTAAAACGACAATCTCCATCTCTAAAAATTTAAAAAATGAAAATAAAACATTAAGGGTAAATATGTAGAATTGCAAAATTTGCATCTAAAGTCCAAATTTTCTCCTAAACTTGATTAAACATGAAAATTAACCCATCAATTCTTAGGATTATATCCTAATGAAAACATTAAATTAAATTATCAATTAAAAAATGTTAATTTCATAATTATCCCTTTAATTATGAAATTACTTTGATAACCTAACCTAAAACTTAAACTTAGGTTTAGCCCATCATAGACCTAAGCCAACCTGAATTTACCCTAAAATTAGCTTAAGTTTAAACCAACTTAGACCTAACTCAATCTAATTAACTTTAATCTTTACTTAGGTCTAACCCCAACTTAACTCAAATTCTAAATTTAACTCAGGTCTAACCTAATTTAAGCATAACCCTAAACCCAACTTTAACCTTAACTTTGGTCTAATCCAACTTAAATCTAACTCAACCTAACCCAACTTTCAGCTTTACTCAAGTCTAACCCAACTTAGACTCGACTTAATCAAATTCCACACTTAACTTAAGTCTAAACCAATTTAGACTTAACTTAGTCTAAAACTTAACTCAATTCTAACCTAACGTAGACTTGACCCAACCAAATTTTAAACTTAACTCAAGACCAAATCAAACTTAAAACAACCTGGGTAACCTAGGCTAACCTGAATCAAACTTATATCCAATTTGGGTCAACCTAGTCTAACCTGCCCTAACCCAAAATTAAACTAAAATCCAACATGGATTAACTCCGCCTAACCTGAGCTAACCCAAATCAAACTTAAACCAACTTGGGTCAACCTATACTAACTTGGGCTAACCCAAATCAAACTTAAACAAACCTGGATCAACCCAGCCTAACCTGGGCTAGCCCAAATCAACTTAAATCAAGCATGTACTCCTGATGTATATAACTAAATTGGTTGTCTAATGGGCGGTGGGTATTTGCTTTGCTTTTGTTGTCTCTCCAACTTCTGTGCCTAGGTCTATACGTCACCTAAAGACCAGTAAAGTTGTAGCTAAACCACATTATCAATGGCGGGCTTCAAACCTCCTAATTACTTAGCTATTGTGTGCTACTCTGGCTCTATCAGATCACATTTCAACTTTGTTATTTACCTCCACTAATAGGTCTATCTGTTGTAGGTAATTGAGTCTCAAGAAAAGATCATGACAGTAGTGTGGGTTTAGATATTGTCTCTGCAACTCTCTCTTCATCTTCTCCCAGGTAGTAATTTTGTTTCATCATTCTCTATTTCTCTCTCTCTTCAGGTTCTCGCACCACAACAAGACGCACTTCTTCAGCTTAATAGTAGCTAGTTTTACTTTTCGATCATCTGACATCTCCTTGTATTCAAATACCTTCTTAACTGTCTGCAGTCCTTTTATGAAATCATTTGGATTCATTCTCTCCTAGAAATTTGTTGTGCTCACTTTCACTCTTGAATCTCTGTATCTTTCAACAGGCACTTCGTCTCTATATTCTCTAGCCGACACTTAATCTATGTATCCTCTAATAGATACTTAATCTCTTGGCCTCCTCTAATGTTGTATCTCAAAGCGTCGTGGCATGTCTTCTTCACTACAATCATTCGTATGGAAGGGATTCTGGTTTTCCTCCCTCTTCACTTCGGATTTCGATTCCACTCTCGTCGGTAGCCTCTCCATAGGTCCTTTCCTCAATGTCATCGAGCCATTGTAGCACTTGACAGAGTTGTGCTACAACTCTTCCATGCTAAACCCTTGATCAGTTTCTGAAAATTGTCTCCTCGACGACATGATTACGTTTTGTGTGTGGAAGAGAGTGTATGGGGTGATGTAGGGTGGGAAATAAAAAAATTTGGGTGGAGCTAGGGTTGGTATGGATGGATGCTAGAAAACATAGGATATGACTAAGGTTAAACTATCTCTAATGTTAAATGATACTGAAGTTAACCATACAAAAATGAAAAAAATGCAAGTTGTATTACATAAAGAAAATACAGGTTACAACAAACGCACTCCGAAATAGAAAATTACAAAGTCAAGCAACACAAACAGCAAACTAGTGCCTTGATCGAAGGGGGTGAAGCTGCGACTTGAGGGGGATTAGTGGGTAGGGATGGTTGGGTGGTCAAGGTGCAACATGGGCGAGGCTGGCAACAACAAGGAAGGCGATGGTTGCTGTTAGGAAGGGCTGGAAAGTGGATGACAGCAAAAGTTGTTGTGTGGGGAGCGACAACAGGAGGGTTGTGGCAAGGTGGTGAAAGAGTGGTATTGCAAGGAATGTGGCTGGGAAGGGGCGGCAACAAGCAGGCGGCGGCTGCAAGTAGTGCAAGGAATGTGGCTGGGAAGGGGCAACTGCAAGGGGGGGATCGACGGATTAGAGGAAGGCGGGGGAAGCAAGGGATATAAATAATTATCACCTCAGGACGGGTTACAAACAGAGCACCTTTTTCGTCATCGAATACAACCCTAAAAGGGGAACTTTGATGTCGACATTTATCCTGTCATAAAAAATGAATAAAAAACTTATCTAAGACTTAGAAAACAATGTATAAATACTACTAGGGTAGCTAAGGGTGGGGCGCTCTCAATCAAGAGGCGATTCTCAATCAAGTAAGGATCGCGCGGTCTCCTTATCCCTCAGGATGAATCAGTTCACGCAAAGTTGAGTCGGTTCGATAGCTTTAGGCTGCAACATCCCGTGTCCCGTGCGGGGGACACACCTACATCACCTATTGTTAGCAGCTCTATATCCAATTACTCTGACGCTCTATTTTATTTCTATACTGTTTTAGATATCATTTTAACACTGTCATTGTGGGTCTCAAGCCCGGATGTGAAAAATGGAGAGTTGTGTTAGTTAGTCAACAGCCAGCGTAAAACTTGTCGAAAAAAAACATGACATGAATCATTTTGATCTTTGTGTAAGTGTTAGGGCGTCCTCTGAAAGTGACGCGTTGTATAACCTGAATACAATGAAAAATGTGCAAGGCCGCTGCACTGCCGCTCGGGTGTAGTGTCAAATAAACAAGGGTTCCCACATTACGGACGGATGCAGGCAAAGAAGTATAAAACTATTGAAATTAATATTAGGATAGAATCTTGGAAAATATATACTCTCAATGGTAAATTAATGAAATTAGTTGATATTATGATTCATATAACGCTTAATATCTTATGTGCTAAGGAGATTGATAGGTTTTAAACTTTGGTACTCTGGTAAGAGTCGCACTAGAAATGGTGTAGGTGCAATTTTAGAAACGAGTTTTAAAAAAATGTTGTAAACATAATGTTGTAATTTGAAAGATAATGTTGTAAAAATTAATAGATTTAGAGATGGAATTATAGTCTTTAAGATTATCATTGATACTAAGATTTTTAATATTATTAGTGCTTATGCTCCTCAAGTTGGTTTAGATATAGGGTCTAAAAAATAAATTCTGGATTGACTTAGAAGACTTAATACAAATAATACCTCTTGAAGAAATATTTTTTATTGAAGAAGATTTAAATGGACATGTCGGTAATAAATTCTGGATTGACTTAGAAGACTTAATACAAATAATACCTCTTGAAGAAATATTTTTTATTGAAGAAGATTTAAATGGACATGTCGGTAGAGTGGTAGAAGATTTTATAAATATTCATGGTGGCTACGGTTTTGGAGTGACTAATAAGAAGGTATAGCAATTTTAGAGTTTGTTTTAGCATATGATTTTATTATTATTAATACTTTATTCAAGAAAAGAGACGAGCATCTTATTACTTATAAGAATGGATCTATTAAAAAATAAATTGATTATTTTCTTATGAGAAGAAGAGATCGTCGAGATTGTAAAGATTGTAAGATCATTTCAAGTAAAGATTTAAGTACCCGACATCATTTATTAATTCTAGATTTTAAAATGAAGAGTTGTAAAATAAAGAATACTAGAACTCATTATCGTAGATTTAGATGGGGAACCTAAAATACACAAATAAAATTATTTTTATGATTAAAATTCAAAATTTCAAAATTTTGGTTGTTCATGATGAAACAAATGTTATGTAGGATAAAGTAACGAACACTATTAAATAAGTAGCAAAAGATGTACTTGGAGAATCAAAAGAAAAGTTTATTTAAATAAAAATAGTTGGTGGTTGAATAATAATGTGCAAGGAAAGATAAAATATAAGAATTTATGTTATAAAAATTAGTTTAAATATAAAAGCTTAGAGAAATGGGAAAAATATAAAATGGCCCGCCGGGAGTCTAAAAGAACAATATGTGACGCTAAAAATTCTACTTTTAATGATCTTTATAATAGATTAACTACTAAGGAAGGTGAAAAATATAAGTATAAACTAGCCAAATAGGGAGAAAAGAAAAGTAAAGATTTAAACAATATGTCGACAGCCAGCGTAAAACTTGTCGAAAAAAAAT